CAGCAGTGGAGGGGCAGGTGGCAGCAGCAGGAGGAGCAGGTGGAGGAGCAGCAGCAGTGGAGGTTGAGGTGGTAGCAGCACTGGAGGAGGAGGACGCACCATCGGCAGCTGCAGTGGAGGAGGAGATAGCCGCACAGGCCGAGGTGCAGCGTGGGGGCGATGACGAGCACCTCATGCAGCAGTTCCTCACGGAGGAGCTCGGTTCGGCCATAGCGGGTATGACCCCGGGTGTGGAGAGGGGGTTTGGGATTTCAGATTCGGAGATGGGGACCCACTTAGACTTGGATTTGTCGGTGGGCCTTCCACCCAGTTGCGGCGGGGCGACATCGACGGATCGGGCTCCATCGAGGGACGAGGCGCCAGGCAGGACTTCGACGCAGACTGCCAGAGAGAGGACGACGACTCAGTCTCCAGATGCAGCACACATCATGGAGCGAGAGAGGGCTAGACTTTTGGCATCGACTGACCCTCGTGCTCAGGCGTTCGCACGGGCCGTAGAGGACGTTAGGCGTCTAGAGATAGGGGGGGATTGTGTGCAGGGTGGGGTGGTGGCGGGGGAGGACGTTGCGGAGGGAGTGGCAGCAGAGCCGGTACCCGAGGCTATGCCGGGTGGAGCAGAGACAGCGGACGTTGCTGTGGAGGGACGGACTCAGACGGTGGATGAGGCAGTGCAGGCAGGACAGCGACGAGTCGAGGGGGCTATAGACTCTCGACGCGAGGGGCAGGAGACAGCGACGGGTCCAGTCGTTGCGTTCTCGGGCCTGCACTTGGCTCAGGCCCGACAGCTGCAGGCGGTTCAGATGGCAGTGCATGGTGTGCCACCGCCCGTTATCACAGATTTGGGGTCCGAGCCGGTGGTTGTGCCCCCACGTCTTCCTAGCCGCTTTGCTCTGCAGGAGGTCCGTCGTCCTTTGGATGCAGAGGAGTTGGCGAGAGAGGCTGTGCGCGATGTTACTCGCTTGGACCGGCAGATCTTCGACCGGAAGCTCGAGCACCCACCGTGGCAGTCGATCCCTTCGGTTCCATGGGGTCCTGCGTCGCCCGTGTGGTCTGGGTCTACCTCCACTGGAGGACATACCGCAGGACATGTTCTAGGGGTTTCGGGTGGCGTGACGGAGACAGCGCCACGCACAGGAGACATGCCACCCCCTCCTCCCAGAGCACCTGCAGGTGATCCGTCATCGTCACCCACAGGCAGAGGCTCTCGATCCCCACACACACCTGGGAGATCTAGGATTCGTGACACGACAGCAGTTCAGCAGGACGTGTGTGACACGACGATATTCGGGAGGACAGTTATACATTTGGATTCCACCCGCCGTGTCACGGAGCACACTGCACGCCTTCAGCCGGGCTTGGTAGGAGGAGGCGCTAGGACGACCACGGCGAGGGAGGTACCGGCATCGGGTTGTGAGCCTCAGCTAGGTCGTGGCAGAGGAGTGTCGACCGATACCTTGGAGTACGCTCTGAGAGCAGCGACGCGTGCCGTGCAGGAGCAGACTCCACGCAAGCGTGGAGTACCTCCTCGTCCACGCCCCGTGCCTGCAGAGGGAGGCGCAACACTTGGAGAGAGTTCGGGGGCGGAGGGGTTGGGGATGCCTCGTGGTTCC